AAATAAGAAAACTGTTATTTTTGTGTCAAATAGTTTGGCCAACTGTCCACGTCCAACTTTCGCTGACAGCAGCAGAAGATTTTCCCCTCACCTCTTTTACCTCTCTCCTTGCCACTATCGCCCGGGCCCGCCCACTTCCCCGCGCGCCTTAATGCACTCGCTGCAAATTAATATTGCAGTTTTTCTTAGCCTTCCTCCGGCTGCCTTGGCAATAGTTTGAAGATGAGAAACTTTTTCCCCGAGCAGCTTGTAATACAAAAATTAGTTTCTTCACTTATTGAAATGTCAATGGAATGTCAAGCGTGCGAGGGGAGGGGAAAGAGAAGGACCTACGTCTCTAGCCAAATTGTAATTTCCACGTCTGAACATCTCGCTCTTGACTGGGCCCTTTTTTTCCGAGCAGCTTTTCCGTTGCTTTTTCCCTTGCTTTTTCACTGCTGCCTGCTCTGCGTCAATTTGCTTGAAATGCTCTGTGCCAAATGATTTAGCGTTGCACGGGGACTCCCCCACTCCCTCCCCCAACACACACACACCTGCGGGCGGTGGGGTGCATAAAAAGTTTTCAGCTTTTGTTTTTTGCGTGGCCTCAGCTGTTTGGCAGAGCGCTCATCAATTTGCCCTAATGATATCAGCGGGTGGAAATGGAGGCAGCGACTCGGATATAAAAAGGTGCGAAAATGAAAATTAAACAAAATTAAAAAAGGGAATTCCCCCGATAAGGACATAAAGCTAATGAGCATAGCCATCCCACAAATAGGATGGGGTCCAAATCCTAAACTGGTCCAAAGTGGCTTATGTGTTTACACAGTTTTTCTTTTCCCAAAATCGCCTCCAAGTCCTTTCTCGATAGCTGTTCTTAGCCTAATGAATGTCATCCTCCCCGGAATCTTCCATTCATTTCTATTTTTTTTTTTTGCTTTTGGGGCAGCTCCGTTTTGGTGTCAGTCAGAAAAACCACAAAGTCGCATAAATTAATGTCTTGCCACGCATTTAAAATGTGTTCAATTTGGTGTTGTTTGTGTTGTCGCTTCATGGGGGGTAATTAATCAATTTGATTGATCATTTCGATGGCCGCGAACTGCCCCGGGAATCGTCCTTTTTTTTTACTTCAGGGTGGGCAAATGCAAATAAAGCGTTTGTCAATATTGTAAATATTTAAGTTGGTACTTTAAATTATGCAAGCTCATTAAGTCAATCGAGCTGAATGCCAAATGCAAAAGTTGTAATCAATACGTGGGCTTCGGGATGGAAAACTTTATCATTCAATTTCAGAAAAAAAATATAAAGGAAAAAAGATGAAAAAAAGTTTTGACCTGCCAAAGTGTCATAAAAACTTTCTGCTGCTGTTGGCGAGAAAAAATGTTGAATGCACACAATGAGCTGACAGTTTAGTCAAATTATATTATCAGCAGAAATTTTTTGTGGAGTCCAAAACTATTTCTGCGCTGCGAAAAATATGTCATCAAAAGCCATCTATCCAAACGGCTCAATGGTTCAGCTGCTAATGAGTTCCATGCAATTGATAAAGTGGGGCTAGCCAGAAATTGTATCGAAATTTCACAATTAAAAGGGTAGTCTCGCTTGAAAATTCATCAAACAGGCAAGAGCACTTGCCCACACCATCGGACAGGACTCTCCCATTACAGGGGCTCATAAGGAGCTTAACAGCGGCCCGGTTTCGTATTTCCCTACTCTGCCCCTCAGTGCCTCTCACCGTCTCTCACCGCTTTGCACATTGCCACATCCTGTGGACAGCGGAAAGCTTTTAAATCGCCCTCAAAGGACAACCACCCGCCCCGCCCTGCATTCGCATTTGCCCACTCACTTAACAGAAAAGCTTTCACGAAGCTTTCAGCGGCATGTTAAGACTGGCAGCAGGCGATTTACATTAGTCAAAAATTGCCCAGCACTTTTGGCTGTGTTTGCTAAGCGCGCAGATACAGTGGTCTCTGCCTGGGACGGAAATCAAAAGGGTCTCAGCCTTCAAGGCACAACCACTAATGGCCAGGGCTTAGCCTGCGAATCAATTGGGGTATAGTGGACCCTTTCAACTCTCGACATCCTCTCCATTTCCATACAATTTAGCTAATGGCTTCGTCATTACCATTATCACTACTATATATACTTATTTATCAATGGTTGCCACTTTTCGGGCAGCCATAGAAAGACCGCACAAACATCGCCGGCGGCCACAAACACATTTGCAATGGCACAACTTGGCTGGCTGCTTATCAAAACACAACATCTACGCACACACTCGTTCTACACGAACACGTGACAGAAGGAAACGTGGGTTCTGCTTAATCGCATTTGGCCAAGTTTTTGCTCTATTTTGCAATGGAGCCCTTCTTGGGGCTTACTTTTGCAGTTTGTCGATTGTGCCCGCGACTAATTGAAAGCTGGCCTGAGCTGCATTAGGCCGAGATTTGTGCTCACATCACGCATACGCATACGCCACGATGGCGCCCCCCACACTTTAACAACATTACGCATTCGCACTGTGTGCGTGAGTGACTGTTTGTTTGTGCTTGTGTGTTTGCGTCAGTTTTACTTTTATTACCATGTGAATGGTTTTGGTTTTGGGCAAACTGAGCAACTTGAGCGGGTCTTTGGGAGGGATTAACCAAGCGTTTAATCGCAGCTTGACACACAAAAGCACATAAAACACTCACTCACTCACTGTCTGACATTATTGGGGCGCTTTTCTTTTTTTATTGACATTTACTTGCTTAACGTGCTTGTAGCTCCTTTTATTGTTATTATTATTATTGTCGTGTAGAGAACTGCTGGCTGTGGCTGGATGGTGATGATGATGATGATGCTGCTGCTGGTTGCTGTTTGCTGTCTATCTTTCACGTTCTACAAAATTGCAATAAAGCGAATTTTTCCACACGTTGCATACTTTCGAGCGCCGCTCACTTACACACACACACACACACATACATGTAAAGTATGAGAGAAAATTGCAGTTACTGCCGCTCGATGGCTGAATTTTAAAACAATTTTTTATACACAATTTTCCATTGTGGCAGGCGGCAGGCGGCAGGCTGTGTGTGACAAACGGTGCACGGGAAAACTCTCAGTTCGGCAGCAAGTTCTGGCGGCTGCCTTTGTGGCTCCCGGAAACTTTATTTATTGCAATATTTTCGTAAGTTGCAAATCTGGCACGCGCAGGCAAACACATACACGTACGCACAACGCACAACGAACACACACACACACACATGTGCTCCGCCGAATTTCGGTTGATTATAAAACGACAGAGCAAAAGTTAGCGCAGCGCTAGAACAGCAAAACAGCAGAGCAGCAATGACAGCGGCAAGCGGAGCGGAGCGCGAACGGCACTGGGAAATCGCAGCAGCAGCAGCAGCAGCAGCAGTAGCAGTAGCAGCAGCGGCGAAAGAGAAGCTTTCGCAGCTGGAAAAGGAAAAGCCTGGAAAACTCAAGAGATAGAGAGATTGAGAGAGGGGCGACCAAAGCGCATGCGCCGCTGCAGAAAAGCTGGAAAAGACTTTTGGGGGTGGTTGGTGGGTGTTTGGTTGGCTAGCCATCAAGAGCACAAAAATCCGGTTCCCCCATTTATGTGTCAGTGTAACAATGGAAGATGCAAGTAGAGTTGCTGGGCTCATTAGTGTCAAGGCGACATATAAATTTGGCACTAACTAGACAAATTCCTTGAGTGGCCAATTAATATGCATGTGCAGCGGCCACGCCCACACCAAGGAGGCGTAACCGAAGGAGGCGTTAGTGGAGAAAGAGCTTCATCATCATAACAGAGCCATCTATCATCCCGGGGAGCTAAATGCCAAAAAAAAAAGGAAGAAAGCAGGGGAAAGAGAAAGTAATTCGGGGCCTTACATCCTGTTGGGATGCTGGCTTGGGAGTCCTGCGCCTGTCCCGCTCTCTAGGTGTTCGAGTGTGTTCAACTGGGTGTCTGTGTGTGTGTGGGGATGGCAGTTTGTTTTTAATCAACGTAAACTGGGTCAGCTTTGGGGCTGCAACTAAAAATATCATTTATGCTGCAGTTGACTTTCCCTTCTCATTTGCCTAGCCGTTTTTCGGCTTTGAATAAGCAAATACATATAAAAGGCATATATTTATGTGTACCTATACCATCACATATATATATATATATATATATATATATGTCCGTCATCAAGGAAACATACTCGACCAACAGCGGCTTCAACTCTGCCGGGCTTTAACATTTAAAGGTAGAGGAGTCGGTGCTGTTAGTGTTACAGCTTCAGCTTCTGTTGCTACTGTTGACCCAGTTGCCTCTCTATAAATAGCACAGCCCACAAATGGGCGGGTCGAGGGGTCAAAGGGCGGCGCAGGGCGGAGCAGGGAGCACGAGGCACGAGGCACGAGGCAGCAGCCAACGAGAATTTGAATTTGAGCAATTGATGTCGGATGTCGGTTGGCTTATGACGAATGCTGAGCGTTCGGTTAAAGAAATTGCATTCTCTGCGAATGGGAAATTACATTTCGTGGCAGTCCATTTGGAGTGGGTAATGCAATATTTAGAATGGGGACTTTCTTGCTTCTTCTTGGTGGCGCTCACTTAAAGTGAGTAATGTAATATTTATGTGGGTGAGGTCAAGGAAGCTGCTTCTTGAAGATAAAATAGTTATGGGAGGTATACTTGAAGTTTCATTGCATATTTTATATAACTTTTCTGAGTTGTACTTTGGTGCTTAAAAAGGGATAAAATATTAAAATTGTATTTTAAATAAATGAAAGCAAATGGATCTTTTTTTCAAGAGTTTAAAATAACCTTTTTAACTTTCTAATATCATCAAGTAAAATTTACAGCTCTCAAAAAAAGCCTTTTAAATTTTTCTTATTTAACAAAAAAAAATCAATTTAAGCATTAAAAGGGTTTATCTATAATCCAAAGAAAGTCATATATGATATGCAAAATTTGCTTTCGTAAACACACATTCACTCAACAAATAATATATGTAGTTAAGAAATAGCCTTCAAGGAAGGAAGCTCACCTCTGATGAAGTTAGGTAGCACATCCTCGAATCGGTGCTCTCAATGGAAGCCTGTTGAACAATTCCGTAGCGTGACTCGCGATCGCTTAGATACTCTGATCGCAAACTATCCTGTCGTATGAACTCGGCCCTTGAAAATAATACCAAATTTAATTATTTCAGTTGATACAAATTATATCTCGACTAACCGTTGTTCTAGGGAATCGGCACGAGCACTCTTGTAACCCGAATCATTGAGGCTGCTGTCCTGCCTTAAAGATGGTAGGGAATCCCAGGGCGAACGCTTGTGCCCGGAACCAGGAACCTGCTGGGTCATCATGCCATGACCCGATCCAGAGCCAATTGTGGAGCTGCCGGAACGCCAACCATCCGAGTGACGGAACCACTGGGCCCGAGCCGATTCGCCAATGCAAGAGGCGCAACGCGAGTTGGAGAAACTATTGAGGAAGTCACATAATTAGCACTGAGTTTCCTCACATTTTCGATATATCTCACCTGGAATTGTGATCTGATAGATAGCCACGATCGCGTTCTCGTTCCCTTTCCCTGATCAACTCATTGCGATCGCTGTAGTAACCATCACGATCGCGATCTCGTTCCTTGTCACGAATAGTAGACAATGGTCGATGCGGCGGCAATGGCAAAGTGGAAGATTTGGCATTGGCTGTGGGCAAAATAGCATACAATCTAGTTAGCTTGACTATATTTAAGAACGCAAAATGCATTCCTAGTTGAAGGCATTCCAAAATCTAGGGCAGGCAAAAACAATCGACTTTAAGCTTCGATTGGCATCGAATCGAGTTCGGGTGGGAGATAAAGCTAGATCATTGAATCTGGAAGAGATCGTGCGGATTCGGAATGGAACTACTTACGCCTACGAAGTGGATATGGGCTGCGCTGGTTCGATCCGGGTAGGCTTTCAGCGAATTCTGATGATGGTTGTTGGATTGTTGGATTGTTGTGGTTGTTATTGTTGTAGTTGTTGATGGTGTTGTTGGTTTGTTGGTTTGTTCATTCATGTGTCGGTGAGCAATGCGAGGAGATTAATGGATGATCAATTTATGGCGTGACACGGATAGCAATTATGTTAGTTTATTAAACAAATTGAGTAATAAATATGGGCAAAGTACATACATTTTGGGAAAACAAAATAACAAGTTTAAAAGTCATAGTTTATAGTAAGAAATTGGCAGCTAACCACATTAAGCTAGAAAAGTCGCACACATCGAAACATTTTTAAAGCTAACATATTACAAGAATATGCCTCAAACTAAGGTATTCAAATTACTCAGTTCTCTTTAACAAGTAATAGCTATAAACAACTCCAAGATGAAAACTTATATAAGTATATTCTTGCTGTCAATAAAAACTTGTAACAAAAATTTTTGATTGGAAGAAGTTTTGATCCAGTTTTAAATATCATTTAATAATTTAATTAAATCATTAAATAATCGGTTAATCATTTTTAAATTCAACTGAAGATTAAGTAAAAATATTATTATCTTTTAGTTAATAAAAATAAAAAGAAATATGTTTGTTTTCTTGTAAAATTAATAAAATTTTTTTTTTTATAATTGGCAATATGTTAGTACCATGAACTTTATAGACAAATGCTTAAGTCGTTGGTAACTAGCTTAAAGAATAATTTGCAACAGTTAATGTTTGATTTTCTCGTCACCATGACATAAAAAAAGCTGTAAGCTAAAAACGTTTTTTTTTTTAATTTTCACACCTACGATCCTAAAGGTATAACAAAAATAAATTACAATGAACAACGTATCTGTCTTACATAATCAACTATTCTCAGCTTATTTGCTTAAATTACTTTATGCCCTTTTCAAGCCCTGGCCAATCCTTCTCCATTACAACATTCAACATTCCACTTCCGCTAAGCATTCTCGTGCCCATTTAATCAGATTATCAAGCCATTCCTAGGCAATCCACCTGCCCCCAAAGCAAGGCAAAAACAGAACAACCGACTTGATTAGGCCGCTGACATGGGTTCGATTGGCTGACTGGCTGACAGGTTGATGTTGATACGTTTCCCAGTGAGTTTCGCCTACCCCAAAAGCTAATTAAGAAAGAAATTCAATTAAGCAGCGAAGCAAAAGAAAGGGAAAACCAAACGTTCAGAGCTACCACAACAACGAAACCAAAAGTGAGGCACCTGGATAAAAAGCTAACCGACAGAAGGTAACAAAAACATGGACTAGGCTCGACCAGAATGTCGCATTGGCTCACCCAGATTCTCCATGCTCTGCGAGAGCAGGGCCTCGAAAGTGTGCAGGCTGTAGGACTCGGCATCCATGCCCTTGGCCAGAGTGTTCCTCAGATGCATCTCGTACTCGAGCAGCAGCCGCGAAGTGGGCGAGCCCGGAGTGGGGGTCACATTGGGGGCCTGCTGATGGTGGTGCTGATGGCGCGAAGATCGCTGCGGCGGTCCCTGCTGCTGCTGGGGATGCTGTGGATGCTGCGGATGTTGGGGATGCTGGGGATGCGGGCCCGAGGACTGCTGCTGACCGTAGGACTGATCCTGGTCCGAGTTGCCATTGCTGGAGCTCGGAGTGGTCGCATAGCACTGGTTGTCGAACATCACGTTGTCCGAGGGCGGCGAACCCTCGATGCAGCTCCTCTCCCGCTCCAGCTCCAAGTAGAGATTACGCGGCGGATAGCCACGTCCGATTTCATGTGAGGATCTGCGTGGTATATTGATAGCATAGGTAATTTATATATTCAGCGGAAATACGGCGAACAAGCACCCACCTCGAGCCGGAGAAACGCGACGACTGACTGCTGGCACGGCCCATCGTGTTGTTGTTCATTATGTGGTGACCTCCGCCCCCGCCGCCCATTCCCATGGCCATTCCATGCTGGTGCATGTGCGGCGGGTGGCCCAATGTCTGGGCCGCATTCGCGTTGTAGTAGTTGTAGCGCCGACGCCCCATCTCCGGCGAGGTCACCGGCGACTCGGTGCTGGGCATCGGCTTCAGCATGCTGCGCTTCAGGGTGCTGGTGTCCACGTTCATGTCCTCGGTGCTCTTGGTCTTCCGCCGGGTGTTGTTGTTGATTACATTGTGCTGGTGCATGTCGTGCGAGTGCGCGTCGCGTGTCTGTTGGCGAAAAGTGGGAGTGGGAGTGCCAGGTGGCAAGTTGTTAGTGGTAAGTGGGTAAAAGAGAGCTCTATTGGGGCACACAGAGAAAGGCGATTCAAAAGCGGGTTTTTGCAAATATAAAAATTGATTCATTTACATACTGCTTTAGCCTCTAATCGATTTACTTATTATTAATTAATTAATTAATTAATTATTAATTAACAACTTAATGGTTTCTCAATAAGCCTACTCTTGTAAATTGAAACGTATAAAGTCCATGTCAATTAAACATTTTTAGTTATAATTTTCATGCGTTGTGTTTAGTTATTTTAAATTTAAAATTTTTTTTTTAATGCACTGAATTAAAATATTTTTTGCTTCAATTTTCATCTATTGTGGTTTTTTGGTATCTTGTTTATCCTCATGAAAATCAGAAATGACATGACCCTATATTCGCTACGTTCTTCACTCTTTTTCTGTGTGCAGGATTTGGATGTGACAGTTAACTAACCATGTCGTCGCCAAAGTCCTTGTTGCGGGTGCCGGTGCCCTTGGAGGAGGAGGTGCAGGTGCCCACGCTCTGGTGCAGTCCGCCGCCGGCCTGAGTGCCCTCGCTCTTGGATAGATCCATGTCCATTTGGCATGCGGCCGGGTCATCGTTGCCCACCTGTGAGCCCACATGATTTTGGCCGCACATGTCGGAGCCCACGTTGCCCACGCCCGTAACAATTACGCCCGGAGTGTTGGTGTTCACTCCGGCATTGGCCACGTCCTGTCTGTCCTGCTGGCCGCCCTTCATCTGACGTGGCAAAGTATCTAGGGGTTTTCGAGAAAAGCCAAAAATTAGATTGATTTTTTTTTAAAGGAGCGTAGGGGACAATCTCACCTGCTCCCTGGCCGGAACCGGGACCGCCGCTGGCCACGTTGTCATAGAGCGAGGTGCTGCTCACCGCACTGACCACCTTGCCGGAGCCCACCTGCTGCTGGCCGTCGACGTCGGTGATGCGGTGCGAACCAACGTTGCGCGGCAGGGTGGATGAACCTGCAATGAGGATGGCGGTGAGTGAGTTGATGGGTGGGGATGCGGTGGATCTGGTCGCCTAGTCGCTAAGCACTGAGTTCGCAAAATGTTCGGGTAACACAAACAAAGGTGTCGGAAAATGAAAACAAAAAGGGCTCCCTTGGGTTGTTTTTTTTTTTTACCGCGGGCTGGGGGGCAGATTTCTGGAGTATAGCTCTCACCTCGAACACGGGGATCGGTGCGCAGGCGCGCATACTGCTCGGCGGACATGCAGGTGCACTGGGGCTCCTGGCGGACGCGCGACGGCGACGCCGGAGTGCTGAGCGGCTTTCGCTTGGCCTTCACCTTGCCCTTGCCCGGGGGATCCAATTTCAGCGAGTACGACGACGAGGCCTTTCGTGAAAATTTGAAAGAAGGCGACTGTAAAACGTCGCACTATCATTAGGTTAGTTGATTGGGATTACAAGGTTCTGTGTGTGCGGTTTCTCCTCTCTTTCTACACTGTCTCACTCTGTCAGACTTTCTTTATCTCTAGCCGCCCAGGATCAAGGATCAACTGGGGTGCGATCTCCACGGAGATATTTTGTGCTCGAGCCGCTCTTAAGAGCTCGGCGAAATTTGCGTGTCTGTGTGTTTTTTTTTTTGGTTACTGGATAGTGTTTTGAAAATATCTTAGAGAACTTCTACGAGTAGCAGTTAAATAGAGGGTGCAGGAAGAAGAGTTTGAAGCTTGACTTTGGGTGCTGAAAGCCTTGTTCTACTTTAGTACAATATCTAGATAGTAAAAGCAGTTTTTTTGATTTTTGAAGGAAGTAGTAGAGTGTGTGTGGGACACAAACGAGCTCTTTGGTTTGGTTTGGTTTTAATTACAGCAGTTTGGCCATTTAGGATCTTTTCTTAATCTCTCTCTCTCTTCACAGCGCTAGGCGCAATTTAGTAACTGATAACTTGATTGTTATATATAGCGATATAGCGTTGTTCCAGCTGGAACAATGACTTAGCCTAACGTTAACATTTCTTTTGATTATACAACTTTGATTTGGGTTAACTTCAACAATTTATTGTAAGCATGTGCGTTTGCTTGAATATAACTATGTTCCATTCGTCTGGATTCGATTCGGTTTCAGAAACCTCCATGGAAGCCGCCTTCGAGGCGATAAATGATGCTCCAAGAATATATATGCGCTATATCGGCAACTCCTTCTGGCTCTAACTAATGCTCTCCTTGGAGTGATACTGGCTTTGGTTTTTGAAAATTGCTTCGATTCGTAAACCGCCCACTTGCATGGGATCTCGGAGTGGGAGAGGAGGATGGATCGGGATTATCGGGATCGGGGGATCGGATTAGGGTTCGTCGGAAACGGATTGTAGGGGATAGGTGACGGTATTGTAGTACAGGATACGTGCGATTGTTTTAAAGCGTTTTGCGTTTTTCTTTTGCATTTTCATTTGTACGATTCCACAGTTATTTACATCGTTCATCGATCATCGATCGTCATTGCGTTCAAATTGTTTGTTTTCAATTTACAGAGATTTTTCATTCAATTTCATATTCATTTTCGGAAATTAAGTTTTTGTTTTAGTTTCAGGTTTTGTGGCACACGTGAAATGCAAACGAATCGAGTTGAAAATATATTTATACATACATAAATATATATTTAGAGTAGTTAAATAAAATTATTGTTAGATAATAAAAGCATTTCGAAGGGGGAAAACGGGGGGATCATATATAGATAGAATAGATTTCAGAGAGAATCGTGGTGTACATTCAAAATGTTCATATTCGGGGGGTTATTGGTATTTGTTGTTGTAGTTGAGTTGTTGTTGAGTTTTGTTTGTTGTTTGTTGGAGTTGCGTGTTTATTCATTCATAAATTTCGAAAGAAATATCCGTCGGTTTTCATTTTGGTATCGGTTGTTTTTGAAAATGTTTCGAATTGAAGTACGAAATGAAATGCATTACAAATGAAATATTTCGAAGGATTTATAGTTTTTGAGTTTTGGCGTGTTTCGACAATGATTTCGAAAAATGATTAGAAGAGAGAAAAAGAAATGAAAGAATATATAATATAAATACATTTAACAAATTTTAGTGTGTGTGTGTTTGGTGTGTGGCGTGTGTCTGTCTGCGTTCAGTGTTATCGGATAGTTTCGCTGTTCATCTTTGCACTTGGATGATTCACATTTACAAATGAGTCCTAGGACCGGCAACTTTCAGGTGAGTTTTCCGAACACTGAGAGTGAAAGCGAGAGAGTGGGTGGAAAACTGGGGCTGGTGGGTGGTGGCTAGTGGCTGGTGGCTAGTGGTTGGTGGCTGGGTGGTTGTGGTGGGTGGACACATAGAGCAGAAAAGTTTACAACAATTACGACACTCAGTATGTGGTTGTTGTGGCGTGAAACACTTATGGAAGGATCTTACTCATGCCCGACGTTGCGGATTGAACAGAGATATTCGTTTAAGGGAGGGTGAACTTTTACATGGATATTAATAATATTTGTATTATCTTTATCGGCGATCAAACGACACTTAGGTGAAGCAAGAATTATTCAGTTGTGTGTGGCTGTGTTGGATGTACACTGTACACAGTGAAAAAGAAACAATATGAAGCGATACTAACGTATTTTTTTACAATGTAAGACACCTGCAACAAATGATGCGCAAAGTAAGAAAAGAAAATGAAACAATTATTAGACTTGGCTAGTCCAGATAGTTCATGTCTGACTACATTATATTAGAATCTATATATTAATAGGCGTATGGTATGGTATGTGTATATTAGATGGGTTCCAGTTTCAGTTTGAAATGTGTTTCTTCAGTTGTAAGCTTTATGGATGAATAGGTCAGAAATTAAGTAGTAGTACAGAGGTTTGAAGTTTATCAATCAATCAGTTATCAATTTATCTTATATAGACAATGAAAATGGTGGCGCTTGAGTACATCATCACAGCTTCTGTTTCTAATTTAATAATTTCATAAAATATTTACAGCACGTTAAGTTTTCATTTTTAAGAAGAATTGGGGACTTAAAACGGACAGAAACTCATTAAAACTTTTGCACATCTCTTACATTTCTCCCTCAATTTCTGACTTTGATTGTTTTTCAGGTGCATGTCTCTGTATTGTATGTGTGCTTGTGTTGCATGTGTGTGAGTGTGTCTCTATAAATACTACGATTATACTTTACTTGGCCAAATTTCTCAATGAATGTTGACTTGAAAACGAAGAACGCAAATTTCCACATACAACTCAATATAGTTTTCAAAACTAAACAAACAAACAAAAAAATTGTTTTCAAATTTTCAGCGAACCAATTTCATAAAATCGTCAAGTTTTCCAACTAATTAGCGAGTACAAGGAAGAGTTATGTTTCGGTGAGTGTTTTTTTAGAAAGTTTATGCGAGGAGACTGTGGTGGTGAGTTTTACTTTGCTTATGCCAACTATGCAAATTTTGTTTACTTTAATTTAACTCCCATTCTATAAATAAATAAATAAATAGATTAATTTAGAAAAATAATTATTATTGTTTACACTGTGGTGATGTATGTAAACATAATAAATATTATAAATACTGGAATGTCTTAAACAATAAAATTGATTTTCTTTTAAAAGCTACATTGAATTTTCGTTTTTTATACCACATATAATTGGCTTTATTTTATTTTCTTGCTGACCTATATAATAGTTTTAAAATGTTATAAACCACATGGTAAAGTTTAAGTTTGCAAAATAACAAATTCGTGTTTGGCATAAACGTAGTAAGTGACTGTGACTATGACAGTGACCGTGACTGCGGTGATAGTGAGCGAATGAAGAGCTTAATTATGATTTCATCTTCAGATTGTTCGAGTGTTTGCGGCACTGAACCTTGAGATTGATTGTGGATATTTAGAGTACATAGCTAGAGATATGTGTTTTATATGCAAAGCAAACATCAACTGGCTCATAACCATCATCGTCATCATTATCATCGTCGTCAGCGGCAGCATCATAATCATAATCGCTATCATTTTGGTCGTCACCATCTTGGTCGGCACCTTGGGTTCTTTCAGTGTTTCTAGTATTAGTCTGTGTGTCGTGTCGAAAGAGTTTCTTGTGGGTGGATGGTGGTTCGGTTTCTTTTGTTTTTTTTGGCTTGGTTCGGTGGCTCTAGTGGTTCTGGCAGTGGTTTTGGGGGTGGTGGCTCAGCTGAGTGCTCCAGCTGGCGGGCATGATTACAGCACGCTGCCAGACCTCTGTTAGTGTTGCTGTATTAGTTGTGGGGTGGCTGAGGTTTTTCGGTATCGGTATCGGTATCAGTTGAGGTTGGTTTTGAATTAATTTTCATTTTTGTTTTTCTTTTGCTTTGACTGTTTTTGTTTAAAAGATTTTTTGATTTTTGGATTTTTTTTTTTATGGGTTTGGCATTGTTGTTGTCGTCGCTATGCGAAAATGTTTGCTTTGCCAGACCGTAAGAGAATACTTACACAGCACTCGCGGAACTGTTTGGCATCGATGGGCGAGGTGAAGTTGAGGCCCCAGGTATCGTTGGTCATGGGGTCCTTCCAGTAGACGAAGCACTCCGATGCCTGGCCAATGCGTGTACCTAAAAGGGTGGCCAGGTTGGCAATTGGATGATGAAGTGGCGCCCAACAATGTGCACTCACCTGGCTGCACAAGTCTCACGTCGAGTATCTTGTCCACCTGACTGTTGTACGCGGTGATGTGAAAGATGCACTCGGGCGAGTCCTGAATGCAGGTGATGTTCACAGGAACCAAATCCTCGGACACTTGTTGCCATTTGACGGTGCCGGCTCCGCTGGCTGACACATGGAAGACCTCTGCCCACAACCTGAACGAACTATTGTTGGTTAATTAAGTTTCGACAATGGATGGAGTGGTTTTTTTTTTTTGATTTGGATTGTTTGGAGGAGATTCGATTCCGATTCGAATTTGGATTTGATGCACAATTAGATTTTGGTTTTTCGGGGGGTTGGAGAGGAAAATTTGGGAAAACAAAGAAACACATTTTGTTGTTATAGTTGGTTTTTTGTAGTTGTAGTTGTAGTTGCAGTCGTAGGTGGGAAGGAAAAGTTGAAGCAGGATACATTTTAAGTTGTTTTGGTGGTTTGTTAGATAGGCCGCATCAATTTGTGTGTTGTTTTGAGGTGTTTTTGTTTCGATTTGTCGTAAGTTGTAGTTGGTAAATTGTATCATTTTATTTGATTTTTTTTTTTTTTTGAAAGAAAGAAAAACCAGAAGAAGAACACAATTAGTTGGATCGAAAAAAGTTATCGAAAGAGCGAATTCAATTGTGGGTCAGTAGTTGGTTGTGGCGGTGGTGGTGGTTGTTGGAGCCCCATTTCGGCAGTCAGAGAACATAAACAGAGTCGGGCTAAAAGAGTGGTTCAGTTCGAAGGGTTTAGGACCAAGACCCACCTCAAAAGATGACCATCGCGACGACGGGAGCTCTGCCAGGGCGAATCCTCATAGCGATAGGCCTTGCGCATCAGCGGGGCACAGGAGCAGCTCAGTTTGTTACCCATGGCGCAGTTGGCGCAGCTTGCCGCAGATCCTGCCACAAAATTGGGTTAGTTTCTTGTGGCGAGTATTATGGAGCAACTAATGTGATCTCACCTTTACCAGAGGCACCCCGATGTCACCACATGCCGCTCACGTCCGCCTGCGAGAGCGCCTGTCCGCGATTCAGGGACTGTGAGCGCTGGTTGTGCCGATGGTTGTGGTAGCGACTCGATCGCTGTAAATAATTGAGAATAGTTGAATATTAAATATACTTTTTTTTACTTATACTTATATATGTATTTAATTTATTAATTTATTGAGTAAATATATAATACTTATGTTAAAAGATAAGGTTTTCTCTACTATCCTTTATAGGCTTACAAGTTGCCATACCATCTATACAAAAATATTTTCGGCTAAGAAATATATATAGAAATCAAATCTTTAAGGCCTAAAAACCTTTCGTAGAAATAGACACCTATGGATTTTTGGAATACATTTCCTAAAATTATAAAGACTTATTATTTCTATTAATTTTAAGATTTTCCAATGTAGGTATTTGTTTATTTTAGGTCATTTAAGAATAACAGCTGCAAAAAAAAGTAACTTGTTTTTGAAAAATAGCCCAATGGAAGTGGTAAAAAGAAGTGGGAAGTGGAAGAAGTGATTTTAATAACCATCTTGAGCAATCATTAAGCTGCAATAAATTTCAAAAAAATTCAAAATATCTGCAACGAAGGCTGCACAACAAGTTCCAGGTCTTCGGGTGCTTGGCTCTGTGAGATTAAAGCGTTGAAGCAACCCACGCCACAGTTTATTATCATCAAGCCAGACCGAGAGGTGCGAACGCTAGTGCAGCAATATTTCCCCGCCACCGCCACAAAAGTTGTGTAGGTGTCAAAAACAAAAGCGATGCATAACTCAGGCCAAACGATGAAAAGCGGAAAATGTGCTTTGAAGTTTTCACGTTTGATTTTCTTGGACACCACCCGCAGACATTGCACTCCGAAGTGATGCAAAATCTAAGGTGTGATGGTGGCACATTTTATTTTTATGTGGATTAAATTTTATAAATATTCACAGTATGGCCCATATGTTGGCCACATTTGTTGTTTACTGGCACAGAAGCACATTTGGATCGCAATAAATATATATATATAAATACGATATATATAGCTATTTTTGTTTACATCGTTTGACCCAGAGGGCGACACACCACACAGACACCTGTTTTATGAATCGATTTTGGCCATTCAGTTGCCGGCTTCCGAACGGTTCGAATTGCGGTTTACGGATCGGGGCTGACGAGATCTTGAAAAAGCCAAAACAACATCCCAAATGCACGCCGCAGACTCAACTAACCGACACGCAAGAAAATCGAAATCACAACGAATTTTCATCTCTGGGGCTTGTAGTCTCTTATTTTTCGGATCTCTTGGCGTCTCGAGAGCGCCATAACGCCCACATGGAGCTCTCCGGCTGCTCAAGAGATCAGATCTCTGGCAAGATATGATGGAGAAACATGCATGCCAGCGATCATCAAGTGGACCACAACATGGGAATTGTCATGGGAATCCGGAATGGTTATGGGAGTGAAAATGGAAAATGGGAAATGGGGGAAATGGGACCGTCATCGCGGTGCTCTCTGTTCGCGTGCTAAGTGCACGTGTTGTTGTCTAATTTATTTTTAAAATCAATCCACTCTCGCCCCGCTCCACTCTCATTAGAATTGCAATTGGGATCGTCTGTCTGACACACATTGGGGGCGATGAGCGACACATCAAAATAGATCATCAAGTTGTTGACAATATTAGGGACGACTTTTATGGATACTTTCGGGAAGAAAAGTAAAAGTAAGGGTTCTTGTTCAAATAATGTTTTGCTGTGGTTTCTTTTGGCAGTTTGTTTTTCCACTCTTTCAGTGGAAATAAATTTTTGTCCTAATTTTGACATTATAACGAAAACAAATGAACAATTTCGGGTAGTTAAAATAAACTTTAAGATCAAATGCTGATAGCGAAGAGGTTTCTAACGAATTTTTAATTTTTGTACTTTATTATTGTTAACAAATGTTTCTAGGGGAATTTTTCGCCTTATACAGAAACAAAAATATTTACTTATTGATATTTGTTTATTCAATTTTAAGTAATTAAAAAAATAAGTGTCTCTTGCTAAACCTAAACCTTTAAAATAATAATACATTATTGAAAAAAAAATTAGTGTTTGATACAATTCCATCCAATTAAAACGAGTAAAAATCAAAAGCCTTTTTATGGCTTTTAAAATACTTTTTCGCTTAAAAACTTTGTTTTGTTTTTCTTTGTCAACATATGTACCTAACGTTAGGTTGTTGGGAATCTTATGAAGTAGGATTTATAGTCGGGCTATGAAATAGTTTGTTTTTTTTTATATAAATAATACACACCTCCACATGGCCCCAGCCATCGGCGTTCATTTTGGCGGCTGCCTCGACACTTTCCTTGGCGCCCATTGTTTTGTTTTTGTTTTAAGATCGCGTTCAGTTTGGTTGATGTTTTCCTATGGAAATTGTATCGCTATTCGCTTTGACTCCTCGGCTTCCTTTTCACTGCCCGTTAAGTGCTTTCAGGATTCGGGCAGCTGTCAGATGTTATTTATTTTGGGCCCAAGCGGAGGACCAGGAGCGTCTGCGTTGAGAGGGCCGTGACTCGTGGGCCAGGAGACTCGGTTCAATGTATAAATATTGAGCGGATTGACGTTGACGTCGCTCCTGCTATCGCACACACACTGGCAAGCAAAAGGACCCGCTCTTTTTTTTTGCTTTTCGAGAGCGAGCGAGGGATGCTGGGGCCGTTGAAGGCGGCTTTCAATCGACTTTCGTCGGGTTGAACGTGCTGCTGACGTTGAAAGCAGTTAAATAATAAAACAGGAGCACGTCCTGCCCGTCGGTGTGTGTGGTTGTTTCTGCGAGTATGGTATCCTGCTGGTATGTCCTGGCCTATATGGCGTATACGTATGCGTGCGTCGAGTGTATTATTTATGCAGCAGAATGTTCTTGCTGATGCTGCTGCTTTTGCTCCTCCTGTGAAGAGTTTTATTCCTTTGTTTGTCCTTTATTTTCTTAGCTTTTTCCTTTTGGTTTTTGCGGTTAGTCAATTTTTTCACTTGATGCTTTTTAACGGTGCGTATGATTAATTTGTTGTATATATTTCAGTTGATTATATCTTTAATTTGTTGAGGTTTTCTTCTTGCCGCAGTGCCTGGATTAGAATTTAGTTTGAAGTTCAGTTAGGGCTTTGTTGTTTTATCCTTGTGGCCTTTGATTTGGCAACGCCTTTCGCGGCCCACCGAAGAAAGGTTCACTTTTGGCTAGCTTTTTCGTTTGTTTGCGAAACCAGCTTCGTTATATTATTCAAGGATCACTGTTCACTATACTTTAAAGGAATTTTGGGTGTTTTTTTTTTTAGTAATTTTAAGCTGGAAAAATCGAGATTTTCCTTTTTTTTCGCCACGAAACGAGCAGGATGAAGGCGCTGTGTATTTTCGTGTAGCCAAAATACCTACAAAACTTGACGAAGCCCAAACGAAATGTTTTCACTTGACGAAACGGGAGAGGAGCAAAGCCGAGAAGAGAAAGCGCGAAGAAAGAGCGGAGAAAGAGAGCAAAGTAGAGCAGGAGATGAGCGTCGAATTACAGCGACAGCCGAAAATTGCTCCCCCATCTCCCTTTCCCACAGGCTTATATTTTAATTTCGATTTCTTTCTTGGTTTTTCGTCGTTATCCTTTATTTTCTATGCCTTCTCTTCTCCTTCTTCTGCTCCTCTCGCTCGTCTGTGTGTGTGTGTGTGTGTGTGTGTATGAGTGTGTCTGTGTGTGGTCTAAGCTTAAAGGTATGTGCAGTGGCTTTGACCCCCCTTAACCCTCCTCTCTTTTCGCTGCGTGTGTGCCTCAAAAAAGTTGCATAAATCACCACACCTTAATTTACTTAAATGCCCTTTCTTGTTTGACAATGTTTGTTACTTGATTTTAACTTGATTAATTCATTTTCGTCTGCCTCGTGGGCGTTTTTTCCACTCAAGCACAAAAGTATGCTACACTTTTTCGATGTTTTATCAGTGACTTTATAGGAATTTTCTTTACTTTTACGCTTCGGTTTTTGCTATTTATTTATTTGGATTTTGTTTTATTTTCTTTCAGTATTATAGTTGAAAGCTTTGTTTTGTTTAGGTTAATATTTTTTGAAGCAAGAAAAAAGCGACACAACCGTCGACGTCGACTTCGAAATTCGTTTTGACTAGTCGCTCAAATGCAAAAGGGATGCTGCGACGTCGACTGCGACGCGGACTGAGCAGCTGGCAGCGACGTCGCTGCAACTGTTGGAATGTGTGCCACACACACACTCTCCATTTTTTTTGGGGTGGCTCTCCTCCTGTTGTTTTTGGTCCTTCCTTACATGTGCTCCTGTGTGCGAAACTTTTAATGTCTCCCCGATGCATATGTATGCGTATGGTTGTGTGTTAATGTAATATTAATGTTATAATTTGCTAGGCGGAAAGGACAACGAACGTGCCGAGTTGGCGACATCAATAATGCAGTCAAAAAACATAAAGGGTATATGCCAGTGAATAAAATAGGTGGGTGGTTTGGTGAGGGGATTAAGGTGTGGGAAGTGGGTTTCCTTTTTGAGCATGCCAATCAACCGAGAAATTCCGAATTAAGGCCCACCTCTATTTTCCAACACTAGCCAAAGTTCGAAGCAGCACGTTCCACATGCCACAAAGTAAAAGTGAAAAGCAACATCAAAATTAATAAGTAGAAAGGATGCTGACGTCGGCGTCGCAGCCGCAGTCGACGTCGACAGAGGCAGAGAGAGAGTGAAAGAGAGAATGACTTCTTGCTCCTGCGCCATTTCAATATTTAACGAAACTTTCGATAAGTCAAGACAGCGACCAGCTGCAGCTTCTCTAACGGTAATTATTCGCTCTAGCCGCTTGCATTCAATTGTTTTTAAATGTTTAAAAATTGTCTTAGAAAAAGTCAATGCTAGTTATCTTTTAGTTTTAAAAAAGAATACATATTTAATATTAAAACTCAGGGCAAGTGAATATACAAGGCTAACCACCCACCCACATTGGTTAAATACCGTTATCTCTCGCTGCCTCCAAAAGACGTCATTAGAAAACTGCAGCTTGCAGCTGACGGCGGCAGAGGCAGCGGCAGAGATTAAAAATCGCGTCACACCAGCACAAACAAAAACAAACCCTCAACTAAAAAAATCCTACAAAATGTATCAGTTGAAAAGTTAACCAAAAATGTCTAAAAAAGGTTTTTATTTTTTTTTTCATGGCTGCAATAATTGGCCATATGTGTGTGCGTGTCCGTCTTTTGTTGTTGCGTAAGGCTTTTTAGGGCAACTGGAGGGTGTGGTTTAGGGTTGCCAAAAACTAAGGGTCACCAAACGGAAACTCCAGCTTACATGTATACGTAAAGTTGATACCTTAAATCTGACTGACTAAAATATATTTTAACAAGATTAAAAATCATCTTTAGCAGCATTTAAATGACTTAAAGGTTCCTTTTTGAGGGTGTGGTTGCTGCGCAGATTCCCTTGCTCATCCTCACAAATGTGCTGGGTGGCAACCCTAACATCTGTTTTTCGGCCAACCTGCAATCTCTTGCACCTTTTCATCTCGATTCATGATTTTATGAATGAATGGCCGCAAACAACAATAATGTAAAAGCTTTTTGCAGGCAACAACCACCAAAAACGAGTTTTACTAAAAGCTGTGATGACTTTAATGTTGAATATCAACAATCATGTTTTTATATTCACTAACTAATGAAAAAGCGCAAAATGAAAATATTTCAATTAATTGTTTAAATATGTTTTCGGGCTCTCGAATATGTTGAAGAAAACCTTAAGTATAAAATGTCTTACAAATCTTAGTGAAGAATATGCCAAATATCCAAAAAGTCCATCGTTTAAATTAAATTTAACAATTTATGCGCTACATTGTTTTTACACTTTGAGCACACATGATTTTAACCGCGAAATTTAAAAAAAGTCCTAAAACATACCCCATAAATGAACTGGTTCCACATCACTCACCATCACCTATCGATAGTTCAGTGTTGGTAAAGGAAACATCAGAACTATCGTTATCGCTTGTGGCGGAGGAAGGAGGAGGCAACTTGTGGATTGAAAAAACACCGACGCCGCCAGAGTTTGAAAATAAACAATTAATTAAATAATAAATACGAAGATATGTTGGAGGAGTTGCGTGAGGCAAAGGTACTGGCCAATGTGACCAGTGCTGATGTGGGCCCCGAGGCGAAGGGTAAGTTAATAAGCGCCAAAATTCGCATTCCAATTTCACCATTTGCATTCGTTTTCTTTTAAGAATATAATTTACTACGCGCCGACGAGGAATATCGCAATGGCAATGTGGATCACTCGATTTACTACCAGGTTAAAGCCCAATTCCATTCCACCGACATGCGATATATTACCGAAGCGGAGGAACTGGAGAAACTACGACCCACAACGGAGGAGCTGATAAGGTCAGCCTCTAGCCAGGAAAAAGTGGACTACAAAAGGTGGGATAACACTAAAATCCCTTAATATTCAAGTTCTTAATAATCATCGACCCTAGCAACAAACTCTGGCAGAACATCCTCAAGCGACTTCAGGAAGTGGAGCAGCAGAAACCGCCTAAACAGCCCACCAAAGACGCCTTTGAGTACATGGACTTTCTGGAGGGCGTACGGAATCCCACAGAGGGTTTAACCCGCATCTCGGATATATGTCATACTATGCCCAGCGAATGGTGTATCCTGCACCTCTGCAAGGGCTTCAATCCCGCCACCACCTACTCTGTGTTCAATGAGATAATGGCCAGCAATGGAGCCATTTATCTCAGCCTGCTGCGTCACTGTAGAAGCCCCCAATTGGGACCCATTTGCCTGAGATTTGCTGGCGACAATCTGGCCAATCTCTTCCGGGAATACAGCACTATGGTGGGGAGATTCAAGCGAGTGGTCTTTGTGGATCCACTCAATGTGAAGAGCAGGGAGGTTAAGCAAAAGTATTGGGAGGAGCTAAAACTTTTTGAATCCTATTTGCAAGTGAGTTCGATGCTTAGGCCTTAAAAATGCATCATACAAATTTAGAATCTTCTCCAGAAACTCCACGCCAACTTGCGGGACATAATCCTTCCCTATTCCTTTCTGTTCTTCGGGAAACGCTACGACTGTAGTGATGCCAAAAGACAGGCCAAGATCATCTATGGTCGCGTCGATGATTTCTGCCTGCTCAACCAGTGGAGTTGTCACCAGCGCGTTTTGCTCTCCCAAGCTGCTCTGCATGCCAATCGACTGGACTCAGCGAATCTCAAGCTCATCTGCTATGAGCTATCCAGCAACGAAAACGAAATCCAGTCGGTGTTCGATATGCTCAAGGATTTCGCCAGCGACTGGAATCAATTAGAGGAGCGGCAGCCGCTGGTGGGCAGGAGATTTCCCACCATCCTGGTGGTCGATGAGGTAGCTTAAAGATTTCAAGTAATGAAACATCTCCAACCTCGGCCTAACCACAACAGTATTTATAAAGCAGTTGGTGTTATTTGTTATATTTAATTTGAATTATTTTGCATTTTTTTAGCGCCTTGACCATTTCAACTGGGAGCAGTTAGTCACCGTTCAAGAGTTTACCCGCATCAAATCACTGCATTGTCTATGGCGCTTGTTTCAGATTCACAAATCGAACATAAAGCATGGCTACTACACTACGAACATCAAGCAAGGCATGTGTGTTATAAATCCGGATGCGGATTTGGTCAACTCCAGTCGCAGGCTGCGCAGCTTCTTTGAGTACTGGCTCCCGCAATGGAAGCATATGTTCGATACAGTGCCCAACGAGGAGGTGATATTGAAGCAGGCCTTTAAGGCGGATTGTTTTGTGTGAGCCGCAAATTTATATGAATAAGAAATGGGGAGACTTTAACTAACCAATTGTGATGTAATTTGTAGCTACGCTGGCCACGGATCTGGGCTGCAGTACGTCAATGGACGCACGATTTCTCGAGCCCAAGTATGCGGCGTGGTCTTCCTGTTTGGTTGCGATTCTACGCGCATGTTAAGCACGGGCCTGTACAGCGCTCTGTACGGTGCACATGATTATTACCATGGAGCGTTATGCCCCTCGATAGTGGGCACTCTAATGCCCGCATTGGATGGCAATATAGATACAGTGTCGGCCACAGCCTTGAGTCTTTGGCTGGCTCCCGGCGATAAACAAGTAATCCCGTGGACGCAAATCGATCGAGTGCCTTGGCTCAAAAGTGGCACTATTAAAGGTGGGTTTTAAGATCAGGGATTAACCTATGATAGGATATTAAGTGGATATTAAGTACTATACAAATATAACCCTTTAAAACCTTGGACAATAATTATATAAAAGAACAATTATTTATTTCAGGAAAGGAGAAAAGCGCGACCACAATGAGTGTTGAGCCCAACTATCATCTGGGCAGCCTTTGCTCCATTATCTCGCTGGTGCAGCAGGGAAAAGTGGAGCCTCAGGTCTACAACTACAGCATTTATGTGTGCCGCGGCCTGCCCGCATGGAATTTGGCCGTTGAAAAGATGCCTTTGTAGACTAAGTTGTGTGTTGTGTCGTTGAGTCGATCTCACTAAGGCAATTGTTTAGCAAAAGAAACCATGTACAATAATCTTATTTAATTGAACTACTTCATTCAAGTGGAAAGTGGTGCTCATAAGATTACATTAAAAGTTATAACACTCAGAATCGTAGGAATAAATCAGTACACTAAAATATATTAAGAAAGAATTCTAAAGCACTTACCTTTTACAATTTATTTGTAAGATTTTGTGAAGTTGTATAGATTTAGCACATTAACTAGAAGTTTCCTTGATTTCGGTTTAGTTTGTTTGTTTAAGTAGTAGTTTTAAGCATGTTTAGGCTTTGTACATTGTGTTTTGGTTGTTGGAACTTGTAACCGTTTATGGATTTGTTAGATTAATTGATTTAGGTTAGAGTTTTTGGTTGCTTTAATTCGAATCATGCCAGAGACAAAGAGTGGAGGTTCATTCTTACATTGCCTGTGCAAGAACAAGGAGTGAAAAACGTTAAATCGAGTTCCATTTGGAATGTGGGTGAGGAAAGCAAAAAAGTGAAAGTGAGGTGCAAACGACAGTCAGAGAGAAAGTTTGAGTGGGAACATTGAGAATTTGTAAAATTGCAAAATAAATGTTAAATCGAGGAGAGATTATCCCACACCCAGTGCCACGGGGCGAATGTGTAATGTCTGAATGGCCAGAAACGCCCATCTATTTATTTACTCGCACTCGTTTGTCGCCCTCCATTCGCTCTCCAAAAACGCGACTCATCTCATCTCATTTCATCGCATCGCATCTCACCTCGTTCCCGTCCTCGTCCTCGTCCTCGTTGTAGTCCTCGTCCTCGGGTTGTCGTTGTCCTTTTGGCCAGAGCTTTTCCCCCACTGAACCTGCGGCGACCTCCAACCGCCCAGCATCGCATCTACTTGACCTACTAACGCCTGTCGCATTATGACACACATTCGTTAATTAGGCCCAACCCAACTCCTTTTCGCAAACAAATTCACTCAAATCATCATCGAGCACGCGGCGTATGCGTAATATACATACACTCATATTCGTTTGGCCCCGATTAGCATGCCATAAAAAACGCACAGCAGGCAGACACACCTCGACGCGCTTCCCTAACTTTATGTGTTACCAATAGCTGGGATGGGCCAGTGTCCTTCGTAAATCGTTAGTCGTCCTTCGGCCTGATGTCTCAATGCCGTGCCCATGCAGCGAGTTAAATCAAATTAGCACCCGTAGGGGCAGCAAATCCGAGGTGCATGCCATGCCACACCCCCCACATACACGGGAATCACACGAGGAGTGGGGAAACAGGGCGCAGGGAGCAGTGAGCTGGGAACAAGGAACAAGGACTTGCGACATGACAGGAGACAGCGTCAGAAGGAGGATATTACATAACAGGCGCTCCCCATGTAAATCTGGTTGTAAATTCAGAGTGTGTGTGTGTTTCTGTGTGTGTGTGACTGTAAGCGAGTGTGCGAGAGTGCCTTTGTGTGCCTTGGTTTTATTTTGTGGCTTGCCCCAAATGAATATGCGATGACGTTGACGTTGCTTTTGTTACTGTCAGTTGATGTTGGCTTTATTATTGTTTTCCCAGTTAAAAAGGTAATTTTCGCATTTTCTCTTAACCTTGAACTCTTAGTTTTCGCCATCATTTTTCGTTTCCATATTTTTTGCGTTGAAAAACTTGTACTTCTTGCAAAGTTTTTGTACTTGCAAAAAAAAATGGTACAAATGTTTTCGGGTTTCCTGTTTTTTTTTTTTTTTTTTTTATTAATAAGTTTTGTAAGTTTTTTAATTGTATTTATTGGTTATTGAAAATTTGTTGCTGAAACGCTTTGTTAACTTTGTTGAAATTCTTTTAGTTGTCTAAGTTATTGTTTTTGGTTTAAGTTGCTGATTTGATTTAGCTGTCCATTAAATTGGGTCCTTTGAATCTGTGTTAAAATGTTGTAAATGTAAATTCCGCCGCGTTGCACACAACAATTCTCTGGCAGAGATCAATTGAGACTGAGCTCGACGCTGGCTCTAGGGTCCCGCATAAGCGTTGCATCCTTTTGGGCATCCCGCTCCTGCTTACTTGCGAAGGACACAAAAGCGCGACAGCGAGAGCCAACGAGCGGGCCCGAACAATGTTGCAAACTGATGGCGAACCGTCCAAACCACAACAAAAACAGCCAAAGGGCCAAGAGTCAAAAAAAAAAATAAATGCAGAGAGAGAGAGAGAGAGCGAGACTCTCGACTTTCTACTCTCCTTCCGGCCATGTCCTCGCCCAATCTGTTTGTTGTTGCTGCTCACTCTGTTTCACTTTCTGGGGGTGGCGACCTGGCACCGGGGGGTGGGTTTCAGGTTTCAGGACTCAGGTTTCCAGCTTACAGTGATTCTGCGTTTTCATGGTGATTCTGTTTGTTGCCCCAAGGAAAGCTCCAATGTTGTCAGTGGCCACGTGACTCGCGAGCAGGACTTCCTTATCAACCGAGAGCTTTAAGCTCGGCCCCAAGGGTGCAAAAGCTCTGACTTTGGTTAGCAGACCAAGGGATGCTCTCTCTCTCTCTAGCTTAATTCATTTAATTGTACTTTAGTCAAAAGCCTTATTTGTAGTATAAAATGAAAGGATAAACTTAGCCTAAACTTATTTTTTGGGGTGCTTTGTTTTTTTTACCCCCTCTTATATCTAAAAGTATCAGCTAGTTTTGTTGTACGTGGGTTTCTTTGATTTGATGCGTGTTTTTTTTAAGATTACCATTTTGTACTTGTCAAAGAAGTTTGTAACTTCCAACTACCAATCCGTTGTCCACGGATCGCCTCAGATTTCTCAGGTGGTCTCCTCGCTTTTCTCCGGAGCTCCACTGCTGCTGCTCTGGTCGCTGTGGGCTTGGTTCTGCAAAAGGATTTAGTCCTCAGATTGGGACACAGGCTCAGTGGCAAACACTCACCACATTGCGGTGCGGGCAGTCGGCATGGAGATGGTCCTCACCCCGACAGCGATGACAGCGCTTCGGCTGGGGACCCAAGGCGCATTCGGAGGCAATGTGGTTGGCGAATTCGCCGCAGTTGTAGCAACGCATGCGGCGAGTGCGACGATTTCTGTGTTGGGGGGAAAGGGGAAAGGAAAAGTCGGGAAAGTCAGTGGGTGGTCGCGGTTGACACTGGGACAAGCCCTTCTCACATGCGTGGCCTGTAGGTGCTGCCGTGGCAGTTCTCGCCCTGCTTCCCCGACACCCTGGTGGCCTCCAGTCCGCGGGACGTGCGCTGGCACTCGAACTCCACCTCCTCCTGCTCGCCCAGCGATCGGAAGCCGGACATCTGGATGACGCTCTGAAGGTAGCAACAAAGGGCATTACTGTTTTGTTAAATTAAACCTTTTCATATTATTAATTTTTTTTTACTTGCATAAAATCAATGTTTTTAAATAAACATAGGTTTGGTTAATATCATGTTGGGAAAATACTTATTATAAGCCTGTTTTTTTAACAAGTGTTTCTTAATGAAAACTAAAAGATTATTAATAGTTGGTTTTTAATAATAATAAAATAATAAATATATTCTATTGTTAAGTAAGCTAAGTTATTGGTAATTGCCTTACCTTTGTAATTATCTCTAAACTTGGTGTGTTCAATAATTTATAAAAACTTACTTGATGTACGAACACCTCTTGGCCGCCGTCGTTGGGGGTAAGGAAGCCCCATCCTTTGGCCACGTTGAACCATTTGCATTTGCCCAGACGCACACAGCCGCATTCCTCCAACGGAGTCGCAGGATTCACGGGATTCGCAGGATTCGCTGGATGGAAAAGAAATCAAATGAAATGAAATGAAAAGGAAACTTGAGTTCGTTGCTCAATTCGATATCCTGTCTGGGAATCCCTGTTCAAGGTTTTGTTATTCAAATGAGCCAGCGGCAGCTGAACAACTAGGGATCTGTGTTTCTGTGTTCATCGTGTCCTTGCCCCATTTGCCGCGAGGCAAGTTCAGCTTGGGTTAGAATGCCGCTCATCCACATCCACATCTACGTCCCCATCCGCATCACCCCTTCCCCCTTCCCCCACCAACTCCCATTGAGGGCAGAAAACAGGTTTCGTTGTTATTATAAGAAATATTTTTGGAAACGGAGAGCTGAAAGAGCCGAGTGGATTCATTCCATTATCTAAGCAGGGGCTCATCTCACTCACACACTCGCACGCCCATCCATTTGGGCTGGTTCATTCATTCATAAATTGTTTTCACTTCGCCCGTTCGCCCGTTCCGTTCCCATTTCGCTGGCTGGGCTGCTTATCTTCGAAACGGCCTCTTGTACTCGTAGTATCGCCCAGATACAGATACTGATACAGATACACGCAGCACTGCATTCTCATGCGCTGTGGCCTATCTGAAATCAAAATTTTCATTTTCGGGGGTTGCTGGCATTTCTAGGTCGCATTTTTTCACTCATTTCCCCGACAACGTGAATGGACTTCTCGAAGATCTCGAAATTCTTTTGCGTCTGATAAGAAACCTAATTGAATGAAAATCTTTCAATTTGGTCAAACCACCACCACCGCCACAACCACCACTGTGATTATCCTTCGGTAGTATCCCTCTTTCCATTCTTATAGGCTATAAGTAGCAAACTCGTTTCGCCGCACAACTAGCTTTGTAAATCTCAAAGATCTTATGCCTCAAATGCACTGAGGCGAGGATAATCCTCACTTGGACAATGTGTCCTTGATCGAGGGGTGGGGTTTGGTGGAAAAGTCGGTCAACGTTCGGGGGTTGATGACACCTCTGTGTATGCAAGCCCCCCATTTGCCAATAAAATATCAAATCAGCGAATGGCGAAAACACAACAGAAACCGAAAAAAAACACACGCCAGCGAATAAAGAACTGCGCAGTATATAAAAAAAGCAAAAAAACAAGCAGACAAAAACAGAAACGAAATATTAGGGCGATCGCAGAGCCAATCAGCTTCGACTTTGATAAGATTCCGTACTGAATTTGTTGTCGTTGTCGTTGTTTTCCTTTTTTTTTTTTTGGAACACAAAACGTGTTTGTTGGGCAGAGGGGGGAAAGACTGGGGGGGGGGGGGGTGTGACGTCTAAGCATAATTGGAAATTATTAACGCTCCAATCTAAACAAACCTGATGAAGTCGAGCTCTGACTGGTACTCCTTTCCAAGCCATTTTCCTGATGCAGATTTTCCATGCTGTTTTTTTTTATTTATTTGATTAGTTTCGCAGTTAAATTGATTGAATTTCGTTCCAAAATTTTCGTTTCAAAACTTCACTGTGAATGCATGGTTTTCCTGCCAACGAACACACATGTGGCTACAGTTGCACACTCGCAGATGTATCTGTAAATTTCACTGCCCGCACTCACACACAGATACAATACGAGCTATTCGATTTTCTTGCGTTTTTCTCTGTGTGTGTTGGTAAGGGGAAAAGGAAAAACGCTGCCGCTGCGCACGACGCACTTCGTCACACTGACTCCGCGTTGCGTTTGACTATTTCTAGGAAGGTCGCAGCACACCCGAAAAATATTTAGCTCAGTATCTTAAAAACACTGTTCGACTCGGAGCGTGTGAGTGAGCGTGGAAAACATCAAGCTGAGTTGAGTGGATTCGCTCCGAATCGGTTTCGGTTTGAGTTGATTTGAGTGTTTGGTGTGGTGTGTTGTGCGGCACACGTAAATGTATCTGACAGATACTCTACATGGCGATCACGGGTGGAGAGCAGCGCAAAGCCTAGAGAGAGCGCTAGAAAGAGCGCTACCGGAGTGAAGAGCGACCAATTTATCTATGTCGAGTTATAGACCATCAAATGGATGTATATGTATCTGTACCTAGCACTCAATAAATGCGTGAGCCAACCGCACTTCAGGATACTTCAGCTTTTTGACTGTTATACAGTCGTTCTGGCACAACTTAATTTATTGTAATTTAAAAATGTATAGAATAAATTATTGAAAATGGTCTCTTAGAAGATGGAATTATCTTCTTAATTGATATTCTTTAAAGATTGTTTCTGTTTCTATTTTCACCATTAAATGTGTATTGGAATAATGTAAGTTAAGAGGTGAAATAAGTTGTTATTTCTACCAAAAGTTTAACATCGTATTATTTTCGAAAACGTTTTTCGAGCGAGCACATTTTCGGACTTTGTGTCTGGCATTTAATACGCTCTTTAAGATACTTCAGCGTTTTTTAGCTGTTATACGGCCGATCTCGATTAACTAAATGGTTTCTTATATTTTCTATCCCCGGAGATTAATTATTAAAACCCAGCTTTTGATGTAGGTTCTAAACTTATTGGGAAATATGTATTTCAATATGGAGGGGACAAAAATTACAGCTTCTACTACGAGTTTTAAAACCGTGTTATTCTGAAAACATTTCGCCGATAGACTAAAGAGAAGCAAAATAATATTGTAATTTTTTTTAACGATGCTAAATAATATTTACTTTCTTATTGGCCATTTATTAGTTCTAGAATAGTTACAGAGGAATCGTAAATTTAAGAATTGTGAAAGGATAGATAGTTTTTTTTAATGTTTCAAAGCTTTAACGGCCAAAATATGTTCTCTTGAAAAAACAAAATAGTTTTAGTTTCACTCAAATATTGAAACACTTAGATTTACAATATGTAACATTTGTACACCCTCATCATGCGCAGTTCTGATAGGCAGATCCTTTTCCAAAAAATGATTCCCGTAAAAAACGAACTGTCCTGATTGGTGAGTGCCAAAAAAAATTTGCAATAAAAAACGGCATTGCAACTGACGGGCTGCAACCCTCGCTTCAGTCGCGTGCCGGGCAGCTGTGAGGTTCGGATGCATATATGCATTTCAACCCCTCGTGGACGTGGACGTGGACGTGGACTTCACCCCTGCACCCGGCTGCGTTGTGCAACATATTTGCGAACGCTCGGCCTGCCCTCTTCCTCCCTTTTCCTCACATGTTATCCGGCTTGGATGCAATTAATTTCGGCACGTGCCTCGCTGGCGTGGCGAATCGATGACCAATGCCATTGATGACAGCGGAGCCGAGGGCGGAAACTGTATCGAAAATTGAACGCACAAGGGAGGTATCAAATGAACATTTTGTGGTTCGTAATTTGGCAAAAACTCTGCCGATTTTGAGTGGAAAGTGGCTGAAAAATATAGAATTATGGGAATAGATTTTGGAGAGTAAATAAACGTTTAAGAGATTGGCAAAAAAGTTTTAAAATAATGCATTTCAGAGGTAAAATTGTATAAATTGTCATCACACTTAATAACATTAGAAAAAAATTTGTATTGCAAATACATAGATAAGCACTGAAAAATTGCTTATTGCTTATTTCAGTAATCATGTCAATCTTAAAAAAAATTAAGTTGAAAAACTTTTTACTAAAAATATTTTGATTATTTTCTAATCTACATTTTTTTTTAAAACAACATTCTTTTAATACCAATACATAGTAGCCAAGACTTAAAGAAATGTTGAAGAACATTTTATAAGCTAAAAATCGAAGTCAAGAGCCTTAACACAGAATGCTGGCCTAAAAGTGTCCGTTATACTATTTTATTGTTTTTTACGTTATAAATGCATTTCCAAAAAACATGTAATTTGAAGACTCAATCGATGGCGAAACTAGATGAAAAGTCTGGGAAAGCCAACAGGGCGGCTGTTGTTAATGTTTGAGGGGTCACTACGGGTCAGTTTGATTTTTTATCAACAGTAACAACAGTAAATAAGCGCTAAAGAACCCAAAACAAAGCCGCTTGAGCCAGCCGTCGCACAGTCTGTAATCAATATTTTGGCTGTCCCGCGCCGGTCTCAATCCGATGGCCACTGGTCCTTCGGCGGACAAAGCCGGCCAAACGGACAAAGGACGCGGCGAGAGCGAAAGTGCCCGTTAGGGATGCGATGGGATGAAATAGCAGGCACTCACATGCGCGTAATTGGAACAGGATTAACAAGGCGTCCCGGCATTCACACAGAGTGCAATTGAAGTTGGGGAAGTGGAAGTGCAGCCTGGCATTGTCCGAGGGTCCGAGGATCGGTTCGAGGCATTTCCGGACACCCTGTGGACGGGGGCGCCCGACACAATGGCCATGAAAATAATCCGCTTTAACTATAAAACGTTGCCAAACAGAAATCAAGGCTGACATGAAAATGAGGAAAATTCCAGCCCTGAATTCTATGCAAAATCGAAAATTAAAGAGCGGTGGGGAGGGGAGGGTTGTGCAGGACGATGCGATGCATTCGCTCCATTTAGCCAAAGCCGTAGACATAGCCATCTATGTGGCATATCCGCACAGCACGCGTTTGACCCGACCTGGCACCTCGTTTTCCTCTGGGTTTTCCGGCATCCTCTCATCCTGCCAGCGATAATCAGGAAATGTTTTTTGTTGCCATCTTTTTATGCGTAAAACGTACACAATTTGCATGTCCAGGGGGGTTAGCGTGTAAGAGTAAGCATTGGAGTGCCCTACTTTCATTGTTGATTGACATGTGATTGATGTTTCCATTTGCAGTGACAGACTGTCAAAGAGCTCTTAGTTGCTATATGCTAAGTTCGCACAGAGGAGCTTAACTTAATTAATTTTTACAAAATTTAGTTGCATGAATATCGATGTGAATATATATACGATAAGAAGGAAAATTAAAGATGATGTGCTTGCTTATCTTTTTAAATGATCTTTTGTTTTTTTTTCAAATATTATAAATAAACTTTAATTTAATTTTACTTTATAATAATAATTAATATCGGTAGTGATATTAAACTCAAAAAATAAAAGGAACGAAAAGAAATTCTCAAAAACCACATTTGCCCCTTAAAGTATACCAACATTTTCCCCAACACTCGACCGTTTTATCCAAGTAGAAAATTGAATAATGTTAGTATGAAATATTTTTGTATTTATTCATTCTTTCGTACTGTTATTAATTGTGATTCTTTAGAGATATTTTATAGAGATATTTCATATATAATTAATAGGAATTTAAGTTGCATTCAAATAATTATGTAATTCTTGTTTTCTGCTCGATTTTGGTTTTTAATGCCTTTTTTTTTAGATGTTTCGCATGTAATTGGCGTATAAATATGCATATAGTCAATTATTTCGTTTATTGTGGTATAAGAGGTGAGTGATATATAGGCGTGTATATATCTTGAGGCTTGTACAAAACAACATTTTTTTCAAGTGGGCTTAAACAGAAACACAATCTCCATCTCGAATGTTAAATGATTACCTTTTAATTGCAATTTTAATTGGGCGTAGCTTTGATTGCAAATGAAATTCGCTGCGTTTTTGTTGTTTCATTTTCTAATTTTTAATTATTTATGAGAACCAATTTTGTACATTTTGTGTATATGAGAGAGAGAGAGAGTGGGGAAACAATTTCGTAGGACATACGTATAACAAAGGCTCTACATCATCTATATAGGGCTGAATTATAGATAATTGTAATTATATAGATTCATACATTTGAAATATTGATTGCAATAAAGGTATACGATAGACTTATTGAATATATAATGGAATATATATTTGGATTTGATTTCTAGAATTGATCCTTGAATCATTTGTGTATGTGTGTGTGTGAGTGAGTGAGTGTGAGTGTGAGTGTGGTCGACCTAAATCAGAGTCACTTATAACACTAAGAAGCAGTCATTTATTCTCCATTTAAATTTACGTTGTGTCGTCACGTTCCTTGAATCCTGAAACAGATTTCAATTACTGTACAAAGTTGGGCGCTTTAACCATAGGCCATAGGTTGTTCGTATGTATAAATAGCTATAGCTATAGCTCTCTACGACTACGTATTTATGTATGTGTGCTTTGTATAAAATATCTATATACCTAGATGCATCCATTTCCGTACTCCATATCGTAATATATTACAATGCTTGCTCAAACAAAAGGTTCGGTAAAATATATATCGAAATGTTTGGGGTTTCGCCAAGTCCACAGCAGACTCTCTATAAGAAGGATCCGCTGTTTGACTTCGGCTGTCTTTTTTATGAGTTACGAGTATTGTATATATAGTAATTCATTCAGTCTCACAAATAGGAAAGTATTATGTATGTTGCTTATTTAAGTAGATTTCTGTAACTGTCTCAAAAGTTGTAAGTCGATGAAACTATGGCGAAAATAAATAAAAAGATAAGTTCAAGGATTGAATCCTTGAAAGCTCAACGAAATATTGCACAAAATGAATGATTGCACAACCAACAAATGTGAGATTTAAAACCAAACGGGAAATAAAAAATCAATTTTGTGTTTTTGTATAATTTTGATTATCTTCTTTTATATTTTCCATGTAAGTAGGCTTGTCTCATCTTTTCTGCGTTTTTGCTTTTCTTTAGAAATATTATGCGTATATATATAAATATTGCATATGCTTAGAAATCTTAGGTCTATCTTAGCCTAGACCTTACATGGCTAAAACATCGCATCGTCACTCTTCTCCTAACTCCTGCTTGCTTTGTATCAAATACAAAAATACAAAAACTTTTGCATAGTCTTAGTCTCAATGATCGGTATTCTTGCGAATTTTCCCGAACTCCCCACCCCCCACCATCTCGTACTTTACAAGACAAATACTAAAGCATTACGAATTGGTGTTGTGTCTTACAGATCGAAGCCGAGCACTGGGCTCAGCCTTTAATTTACAGACCTTAATGGCTAGTTTTATTAATATGCGCTAAATAGATTTATATAGATACTTAAAGCTAGTCAGCCTCATTAAGATTATAAGCTTAAGTTTAGCTAAAGATTTCTCATATATAATATTCAGACGAAAACGAAGACTAATTGAGAGCGTAATTTTGGTAAAGTACAATACGAGCAAATTTTTTGGATTCGGTTTTTTTGTTTGTGGTTAAAGGAGTTGGAATTTGGAGTTGGAGGAAGGTTGAATGATTAAGGCGCAAAAGTAGTTTGGGGGAAATATCCTAGAGTGTTATACTAACGTGTATATATTTTATATATGTTTAGTGTGGTTTACAATATAATTCATGTGTTTCAAAATACAAATACAATCGTAAATGTAAATGTGGACAAATGGAAACAGTCAAAAGCACCGATTTTTCAGCTAAGTTTTCTTTACGTTTTTTGTTTTTCGTTTCTTGCTTAGTTTTTATAAGTTTTTGTTTTTCGTAATAATCATAGTAATCATAATAATGATAATGGTAATGTGGTAATGGTAATCCCTAGAGGTCTATGTAATTTTAAATAGCTAGGCGATACTAGTTCAACAGATGCCGAAATAAGATTTCCTTCTATGTACAGTTTTGCTATCATTTGTTTGTTGCTGCTGTTCCGGTTGTGTATATTTAATAAAATACATATAAATATATAAATATATATGTATAATAATGATATATCCATATATAAAATACGTATATTAGCTTTTCAGATCTGTTCCTATCGTACAGAGATGATCGACTCTAAGCAAATGTTTTCGGTTACTGTTCTTTTCCGCGGGTTTCAGTGCTAACGAAATTCAAATAAGGCAACTTGAATCTATGTATTGTATGAGTAATGTATCCTTATATATGTTTTTTTTGTTTTGTTTAACTTCTAACTGTGTAATCTACTGCTACAGGTGCGCGCCTCAACAAACAAACAAGCAAACAAACAAACAAACAGAGAGGGTGAGAGAACAAATCAGAACTGGAAAATCATTGAAAGTCAAATCTAAATGCATTTCCTCTCGTTCGTTCTCAGTTTTCCGTAAAAATTCTCTCCTGCTGCCGGCTCCATTTATTACCCCATTAACAATCGCTTTCTGTGTTAAACAATTTTCACGTCCTTTATATGTACGGTGTGTATATATATAAAATATTTATCAAAAATAATATGCCTTTAGTGCTCTCCTGCCATGCTGATAATGATGAGAAGAAGAATTCTGGGGTTTGCCAATTGGTGAGATCTAGTTTTCATAGCGCGAAAATGAGTTTTCAATTTCAGGGGGCGGGGGGGTGGGATAGGGGGATCAAAAATTTACGTGGGATCTTTAACTATATACAACTATATAATAATACCATTACGTTTACTTGTGCTGTGTTTTCTTTTTTCCGTTTTCGTTTTCCTTAACGTTTTCTTGGGGACGTCGTCTGTCTGTCTGTCTGCCTGTCTGTTCTTAACTCTATTTGATTTTATTGCACTTGGATTCCATCACTTCCTCTGGTCTGCAGCTGCTCCTTCTTTTACTCTACACTACGGTGTATACCGATGCCCTACGTGCACTCGATGATCATGGGCTGGTTGGAGGACTCGATGACCGAAGGTCTGCTCTCCTGCGCCTGCACATGCTGGCCATGCAGATACACGCCCGTTTCTGGCAGGGATTTCAGTCCCTTGGGCGAGTGTTGCTGCTGCTGTTGCTGCTGTTGCATCTGCAAGGCATGTGGATGGCCATGTTGCAGCAGACGGCTGGGCGACGACTGCTGGTGGTGCGGCGGCGGTGGTGGCAACTGGCTGGCGGTGGTCAGCAGCATGGGTGCCGGACCCACCGAGTGTTGGGCCATCAGCAAATGGGGCGGTGGCACTCCCTGCTGCTGCTGCTGCTGCTGCTGCTGATGTTGCTGATGCGACTGTTGCTGGTGCTGCTGCTGTTGCGGCGCCATGTGGCTGCCCAGGGGTATCAAACGGGGCGGCGACTGACCGCCATTGGGTAGATGCCTCAAGCCCGGATGCACAGCGGGATGCATGTGCTGAGTCAGTTGCTCGTAGGCTTCCCGGGAGTCCGGTTCGGGATGGTCCTTATCTGGGGGTTAGCATAAAATATTTCTATTAGTATAAATCCATTTAAGAACTAAGTTAATAAGTCCTACCCAAACACTCCGAAGTGGCCGCTGCTGCCATGGCCAGCTCCTCCTCCAGATTGTTGGGCTTGCAGCTGGTGGTCTTCCAGTGAGTCCTCAGTCCCGATGCACTGATGTACTTCTTGTCGCAGCCCTGGCACACATAGGGCCGGTCGTTGGTGTGCAAACGCTTGTGCAGCTTCAGGTGCACAAACTGGGTGAACTTCTGCGGACAGAGATCGCAGGCGTAGGGCTTTTGGCCACTGTGCAGCCGCAGATGGGTCTTCAGGTTGGAGGTGCTCGAGAAGCGCTTCTTGCAGATGTCGCACTGGTGCGGTTTCTCGCCCGTGTGCACCAGGTGGTGCTTCTGCAGGTGCGCCAGCTGGGTGAAGCTCTTCGTGCACACGTTGCACTTGAAGGGCCGTTCGCCGGAATGGGTGCGCAGGTGGACCTTGAGGTTGCTCAGCTGCCCGAAGGTCTTGCAGCACACGTTGCACTCGTAGTGCATCTTGCCGTCCTTCTTCTTGAGCGGATAGGGCAGCGATCGGTAGCCGCGCGAGGCCAGCGAGTTGGGACTGAGGGGACTGCCGCTGCGGGGACACGAGTTGCCGTCGGGACTCAGGCTGCTGGGCGGTGAGATCCTCAGCGGCGACAGACGCTGCAGCGGGGTGAGGGGCTGCATCAGCGGATGGTTCAGCATCTGGGTGCTGGTCTGCAGCAAATGCAGATTGGAGGCCGAGCCCGCTCCACTGGAGGCATTCGACTGGCGGTCGAAGGGGGAATGGGAGCTGTGTGGCGGCGAGTGGAAGGTCGAGGTGGCCGCTGCTCCGTAATGGGGATACCCCGGATAGCCGGGACTGGGCGAATGGCCACCCGCCTCGCCAGCGCCCAGATAGGCGGCATGCCTCGAGGGCGAGAAGATCACGTTGTGATGATGGTGGCTGGGCGGCGGCGGTGAGCATTCGCCCTTGATCAGCGTGGCCCGGGACATCTCCTGATCGCCGACCACCCCGCCGGCCGACGCGGACAGCTGCTCGGGGTTCTGGCCAAGATTGGAGCTGCTGTCGGGACTGACGGCATTGCCGTAACGCTGGGACTTCTTGTAGCTGTAGGCCATCTCCGTGGGCGAGGTGGGCGGCGGTGTGGCCGCATTGGCCTGACGACAGGCATTCGCTGCCGCTGCTGCCGCCTCCAGGCGGTGCTGGCTGGTGAGGATGGACTCCAGGATGCTCGAGGAGGGCTGGCCAAACCGCATGTATCGTTCTCCCGGCGGATCGGGCTCGTAGTAGGGCTTACTCAGTGGGACAATGGTGCGGGTCTGACCGCCGGAATTGTGTTCCAGTACGATGACCGTCGAGGAGGCGGGTTGCTGATTGGATTGTTCACGTTCTTGGATCCTCTCCCTCTCTCGCTCCCTCTCCCTTTCCCGCTCCCTCTCCATCATCAGCATATGCTCATCGCCCAGGTGGGTGGTGGTCGAGGGGCAGATGGAATCGGGTTCCGGGTGCATCGCCTGCTCCTCCTCCTCTTCCTCCGGCGGCAGCGACATCTCCTGGTCCACCTCCTTCATGATCGGCTCCTGCTTCACGCAGCTCTTGTTCTTGAACTCGTATTTCAGCGGCATCTTGACCTTGAACTTCCTGTACTCGTTCTTGTCCGCCTCACAAATGGGCGTGGCCGTGGGTGAGCCGTGGCTGTTCATGGGGTTGGTTGTGGTGTTGGCCATGACCACGGCCACAGGTGGCGCACTGCCCGGCTTCTGGGCCTGAGCAATCACTGTCTCCTTGGGCGCGATGGCCTTCTTCGAGCAGTCCAGCACATAGTTGTGCTCGCTCTCGCTGTCGCTGGAGTCCTCGGGTGGCGTGAGTCCATCCTCGTGGCACTCGTTGCTGTGGTAGCCCTCATCCGACCTCACCGACCGCACGCTGCCGTCCTGGGGGGTCATCTGATGGTCCAGGCCGGACAGCGGTGAACCCGCCGTATCCTTGTCGCTGCTGGCCAGAGGCGATCGATCTTGGCCAATGATCACGGAGGCGTGGCGGCCGTGATGGATGTGCGGGTGGTGGGAGTGGCAGGAGGAGGTGGTGGTGCTGACGTGGGCGGGCGGGCTGGAACGGCGGCAGCATTGTGTGGCAGGCGGGGGCGGTGGCGTGGCACTGGAAACGGAAACGGAACCAGCGCCATTCGCCTGGCCATTTGCTGCACCCACGGGCAAATGGAGACCCATCACGTAGGTGATGTGACTCACGGCCACGTCGGCGGGAATTTCCGGGGCAGGCATCGAGTACCGCGGCTTACCCTCTTCCCCCTCACCCTCAGCTTCCCGCTCCGCCGCCGCCGCCACCTCCTGCTCTTCCTCCTCGTCCACCTCCTCCTCCGCCTCCACCGCCTGCTTGCAGGCCCCGAAGATCGTCGTCTCGGGATCCACATCGTAGCCGAGGCGACTGGCGAAGTCCTTGCAGTACCACACCATCAGCTCCTCGTTGGGCAGAATGTCGCGGGTGGTGTAGAAGTAGATGTTCTCCTGGTGCTGGCACGCCACCAGATTCATCACGGACAAACTGTAGGCGGATGCCACATAGCGCATCCAATTGGATTGCGAACGGTCGGAGCCATCCAGATAATAGTAGTCATCGTCCTTGAAGATCTGCAGACACAATGAAAGAGCAAAGAAAGGGGGGGAGTTTAGAGACATTCTGGAAGGTGAAAGCCAGAAAGGATAACGACACAAGACGCACAACAAGGAAGAACAAATAAAGAGCGTTCTACAAGGTAAAAAGATTTAAGGTATGTATGTGTTTGTAAAAACTTTTCAAATAATTTATTCTTAAGTAATATATGTTAACTTAATATCTCTTTTTAGATATATTATATTTTAATATAGTTACTTTTATAAACAAAAGTTTTTTAAAACACATTAGGAATAGTTAAGTAGTGCAAGGATAGTTAGAGAAAGAATTTGTGCTGATTGGGGGATTAGTGGGGGAAGCTGGTGTAAAGTTAGGGGTTAAATACAACAAATAGAAATCAAAGAAAGCATAAATCGTGAGTGGTACCTTAATATTCCCGTAGGTTATGTGGCGTGTTCCCTGCACCTGATTAACCACAATCAATTCGAATTGTTTTCCAAAATGCAAAATTTAATTTTGAATTTATGTTCGTTTTTTTTTATACATAGTTGTGTTCATTTTGGTTGGGTATTTGTGGGATGGTTTAAGATTAGATCACATGAAATAAAAATTGAAGAGAAACGAGTTGGTTAGTTGCATGTTTTTTTATTTTTATTTTTTTTTTTGGCTGGATAATTGGATGGGGGAAGCATGTTTCTGGTAAATGATTATGATTTGTTTGGGGCAACACTTAGTCCTCTTTTTGTGGAGGAGATGTGAGCAAAGAAATGGCAAACAAAAGATATGCAAATGATTTAGAAGCCCACAACAGATGCTTAGCCCTTCATGGAAATGAAGCAATCGAAAAGAGATGTGGATGCTTACCCGCCAGAAATAGCGCGCCTTATTCTTATCATTCGGATAGTTTGAGGTTGGAATGCCTTCGAATGGGCCAAAGCGAGTGCCACGTGGGATGACCCCGCTGCTCCAAACTCCTTCAGTCTGAAAATGGCAAAGAAGATCGGGAGAATAGGGTTAGTTCTATATATTTTTTACTGGAGAATGTTTGCCAACTATATTAATTAGATTTGGAACTTCGTTTGTACCTTAACATTTGGCGTTGAGTAGACCATGGATGACTTGAGTGTCAGGCTGCGCGGCAGCGTCTTGTCCGCCCGATTCGGAAGTCCCCGCTCCGCCTGGACATCCGGCACCAGATAGACGGCCAGCCGCTGGAAGTCCTCCTCCCGCATCCTGGTCACATCGTAATCCTGGTTGCCATCCGGCGTCGGACTGCGACTTCGACTGCGACTGCGCGCCCTTCTCGCCGACAGCTTGTGGTTCGGATGCGGATGCGGGTGGGGATGCGGATGTGGCTGGGCATGGGCATGGGGATGCTGATGCTGATGCTGGTGCGGATGTGGGTGGTTGAGAGGATGGCTGTGGGCGGGATGGTGGGGCTGGTTGGCTGCCTTCATGATGGCTCCTGGCTGCTGCTCCTGTGGATTTTGCGGTTGCTGCTGTTGCAGATGGTTGTGGTTGTGATGTCCATGCATGGCGACTACTAGCTAGATTGTTGCTCTGCTAACGCTATATATATGCTGGTCAATATATATATATATATATATATAGAGGGGGTTCAGTAGTTGCTGCTTATTCTGCTAGTTGCTTGTGGTTGAAGTTTTACTTGATCTGGAATGACACAAAGGAACGGGAAAAAAACACGGTTTAATTATAGACATAATTTTGATTTGGCGCTATAAATAGAGGCGCCTAGGACCCCGTACACCTGCACCCCCTCCCTATTTGGAAAAGCTTCGCTGAATTTTCACAGTGTTGCAATCGTGTTATCGTCACTGAAAAAAGCTAACTGCAAAACGGCAACGAGTAGCGAGTGGAGGGGTCATCCAGAAAGGGGGTTTGGGTGGCAGTGAGTGCAGTTCAAGATTGCGGCCTTAGTGGAGGTTACACATTCACGTTCAGGGGCACCTGCCCCACCTCCCCTTCCAACTCTTTGAAAATGAAATGAAAATTCCTCGAAGACAACTCACTTGAATTATTCTCCTTCATTTGGCTGCCGTTTGCTGTGTTTTGTACTCTCGTTCTGCACTCGCATTGGTTTTCTCCCTACATTGCTTTTAAACTAATTACAAATATTTTTCATTTTGTTTCTTTTTTGTGATTCTTAATTATTATAGAGCTGCTAAGTGATTGTGGGTTATATTTTGTTGTTGCTCCTTGCACTGAATTCGATTTCGGTTTCGTTACTTTTCATTTGGATTTTTATGTGTTGGGCCCGCAAATTACGCATCACTTTCTGTTTCGTTCTCTCGTTACGCATACGCCGTGTGGGCTGCCACCAGTCCCGGAATAATTTTCCGGCTGTCCGGCTTGGCTTGACAATCTACGGCGAACCTCCTGCTGCTGCCCAGCCAGCATTCTCATTTGCACTGCGACATTTAGTTTTTCGGCCAAATTCGCCAGGCGGAAATTAAATGCAAACGCATCTGCGGCAGCGACAACGAAAATGCGAACAAAGATTAAAGCAAATATTTGAATTTGTTAGTTTTCTTGTTGTTTGTTGTTTGTTTTGCAGTTTTTATTTTTTGTGAAGAAGAGCTAGGGAAACGTTGACGCCGCCAACCGAGAGTTCCTACTACTGACCCACATCCAACCGGCATAGACCCCAAAAAAGCTCAAAATTGCAAGTCCAAGTCCCCTCACAAACACACACACACACAAACACACACACAAACACACACACAGACAGCAGCCGGCATTGCACCAACACGAATTGCACTGCAATACGAACGCATCCCGCAAAAGATTCTCAAATTCTCGCTCGGAAAGTTCTCCGCTAGAGAGGGTTGAGAAACGCTTTCCGGCGAAAGCTTCTGACTCGGTGGTGCGGCTGGTCATATAGTGGTTGCATCGGTGGTTCATTGGTGGTTGCCTGTCGACTTATTAAAATGTTAGTTTCCTCCTTTTTTTTTTTATTTTTCGGACATATTTAGCTGCGCAATCATGAATTTATTGTGCAAGGTTGGCCAATCTATTGCTTCCTAGAATTAAGAAAGTTACGATGGGCTGGGCTTTTGGGTCAAAACAACAAGTTGATACAATACAAGTGCTTGATCGTATTTTTTTTTGATTGCATAATTTAATAGAGAGGACTTATGGGTACTTAAACTATTAAACTTTATGAAAACCAAAGAAACTAAATAATAAAAATCAAAATAATCGTAATATGACTCCCAAACTAAGTATTTAAAACAGAAGAAATACAATTAAAATAAAAAATGAAAATTCAATTTCTATAAATTTATTATCATTGCATAATGCATTTGAAAAATATAAGAGAATTAAAAATAATTAACTTATTTTACAAAAGTAAAAATAAATTTGTTTTCAACATTAAAATGGTATTTAAACTATATATAAAAAACAGTTCTGTTTAGTTGAAAATGATGTTTAAAGGCAAAACCCATATTAAACAAATATGGGTATCTTGATTGTTGCAAATTCCCTGTCTATTTGCTTAAATGCAGCAGGAAATACCAGGAACTGTCGTTCTTATCAAACTACTAAGCTCAACCATTTGTTCGAAATGTTATCGCGCCCCCCAATCTCATAAGCAGGAAGTTAACATTGATGAGCACTCGGTGGGGGGGATTGTTGTGGACTCACCCAATCTGTATGGATTATATGGACAATAAATATGGCTATTTGTGCACCATAAAGGGCTTCAACTCCCCCGTGAACCTCTCAAGTGGGCCAAAGGAGATACCAAGTGACGCTGATCCCGTCCGCTTGTAGAACTGTACGCACGTAGAATGCGAACTATACGCCCGTATGCGAATGTGAATGCGAAATTACCGAGCCCCGGCGATCAAAAGCGACACGGATGCAAAATTGCAACACTCTCTGTGTCGCAGATGTGAATGTGTGCGTCCGATGATCTGATGCACTTGCACTTGCACTTGCGAATTGCATTTTGATTCTGTTCTGCGAGTGCGGAAATGTGCGAAAACGATCTGCAGAAAGTGATTTCTGTCTGCTCGTGATTTTCCCATCCCTTGTGGACTTGCTTTTTTTCTCTGCTTTCTGAGTGGGTTTGTCAGCTGGCGCCGCCAGCCAAAAATATGCAGACGAAATGAGGAAGATACAAGCTAGTGGGCTGTGCGAGATACTTTCGATTTCCGAGGGAGGGGCAACGGCTACCCTTTGCGCAATTACAGATGCGTTTGCCACACTAGGAAGTCGAAAGTCTTGTCATGCATACCGTACGAAAATCAACAATATTCTACTTAAATCAACAACTGCAATCGTGAGCGTAACTGCAGATAGCGGGCCAAAAAGCTTTTCCCTATCGCTGTGAAAATGAAAATAAACAGCTGCATGTGTACACACACACACATTCACGTGGACATTAGAAACAAAAAGTAAAAATCAGTTGGCGCTTTGCGTTTCTAATCATCGCACAATTGCATTTGAAGGACACACACTAGACGCGAGCGAAATTAAAAATAAATAGCGTACACAGACCAAGACGTAATCATAAAAATGAAATAAAACAGAAGCGGGAGCGGGAGAGGCAATTGGTCAGTGTTTCAACATTCAACTTGAACGCTGACGACCCGCGATAAGCGCTCAGCCACATTGCGCATACGCCATGTCAGCCGACTGCCGCATAGTGAAAGAAAACTTCCGCGAAGCTCCTATGCTCGCAATGCATCGCATCGCATCGCATCCCATCGCATCGATCTTTATCAGATTGCAATGCGGGAAGCGATTCGAACCGAACAGAAATGAACAGAACCCCAAATGGGGTCTCATACCGCTTGGAATCGGTCGCTCAAGGACAAAGCGAACTGTACTAACCGCACTAGTGCACTACCTATATAAGTACATAACAATATGGTACTATATGTATGTGCACGTTCAACTGATAACTGCACTCTGCCGAAGCGCCGCAGTCATAAATTGTTCGCCATCTCCCTCTCTCTAAGTAGGAAATCAACGAAGCTAAGTAGTTTCAATGAATAAACAAATTTAACGATGTATTTTTTCAAGTGTAATGTAAATATTTACTATTTGCCCATATGCCAGACATGGAAGTACTTCAAAAGGGGTTACGTTCTTTTGCCTTCGTTTTATTAGACTTTAGAAAATATTGTAGTATTTAGCCAGTTAATAATAAGATTTTTTTGTATTTTTTAATAACAAAATATTTAAAGATAATTATTTTAAATTCTTTCTTAATGAATTTAAAGATAATAGTTGTTATTATTATTATTATTATTATTATTATTATTATTATTATTATTATTATTATTATTATTATTATTATTATTATTATTATTATTATTATTATTATTATTATTATTATTATTATTATTATTATTATTATTATTATTATTATTATTATTATTATTATTATTATTATTATTATTATTATTATTATTATTATTATATTAAATTGATCTAACGATTTATAACAGGAATACAAAAAAAACTTTCTGACAAATCCAAAAATAAGTGGTTTATTCTAATTTAAACCCATTTGAATTTATTACTTTTAGCTCAACCCTAGTTTATTTCTGGTCATCTAGGCATTAAAACCTATCAAAGGCGGAACAAGGAATTGCTTTATTTCTGTTTACACATTCTTAGATCTTTACCCATGGTCTGGTCTATTATGACATCGGATTCGCAACACTTTCGAGGCGGTTACAGTGCTTTTGGACTCGGATTCGCTTCGGATATCTAGTACTCGATATTACTCGCAGTTAATCCATATTTTCTGTTGTTGGCCGAGATGATTTGCAGTCATTCAGTGCCCAACAATACAGGGTGTGTGTGACAGAGAGGGCACAACCCGGAAATGTAAACTACCAAGGGGTGGAAACGCGGGAAAAGGGGGGAAAAGCGGGGAGTTCGAATTTAGTTTTATGTGCATGCAAAACGAAACGAAAAGCGAAAAACGAAACGAAGGGGGTGGTGAGGTGGGGCAGCTGATAAAATAAAATTGTGCGCTATTTGTCTGTGTCTCGCTCTCGCTGTCTGTGTAATAATAATTTGTGTGAGCTTTTCAGTGAAAAGGGAACAAAGGCGGGGCGGTGGTGCTTTGGGGGGTGGGCCGTTCAGCTAGAGCATCATCATCATCATAACCTTGAGTCACAAGTCGAGAATGTGCATGCGAATTGAATGCGAAAACAACAAAAATTGCCGCATTCGTCTCACCCATCCGCATTGCAATATAAATAGAAAAAAAAAAATAGAAAAAAAAATACAAAGGGAGGGGGTGGTGCACAGTGGGTGTGTGCAGGTGATTATCTAATCAGTGTGTCGTGAAATTAATATCAACATTTCAAGGACATTAAACAAAAGGTATGCCAGTTATTTTTATGCTGATGCTTCGGTGAAAACAAACCACCACCCACTCATAATCCACCCCTTTGGCTGGTTAGGTATTGTGTTGCGGTTTCGTTGCACTTTAACCTTGAAAATATTGTGCACTCTTTTGTTTTTGTTTCTGCTATTACTTTGATTTGCGCATGTGCAAAACGAATGCAATCTCCACCCCACCAACAAGCGAGAGTGAGAAAAGGCGATTGAACCGCTCCCACCGACAAAATACTTAACCGATTCCCACTGTACATTCAAATCGTTTCACATTTTGGCAGTTAATAAACGTAAATTTTAAATCAATTTAAAATTCACTCCAGCGCAAAAAAAACAACAAAAATAAAAGCGAAAGTATGTATACATCTTAACAAAAACAACATATTATTAATGCAAAACAACAAAAAAAAACATTCAAATACGTTGTTCATTTTTTGTACTACATTCAATTCAAATTCTCCAAAAACAAAAGCTAAAAACGAAAGTATTTAATTAAACAATTCCCAAGAAATACGTTCATTCATTTTATTGTTGTTTTAAGTAATTGAAATAAATGTCCAATGTGTTTGATTTTCGTTTTTAAATTTGTATAATGCATTATTAAGAATTTTCAATGTTGATTTGTTTGTTTTTTATTTGAATACCTTAAGTACTTTTTATAATTTATTTCAAACATTTTGTTGTTTAATAAAATTGTCGTTTCTACCTAGGCCTGTGTTTTTAATAATTTGGTTGTATAACTTGTTTTAAACCTGCGCTACAAAATTATTTTTTTGTGCTTGACTAATTGTTTTTTTTTTTAAACTTTTACTGCTGCCTTTTGTAAATGATAATAAATCAATAGCATTTTTTGTTGTTTTTCTTTTATTTCTGTTTACTTAGGCTTCGACTGTGCCCTTGAGTCGGCTGCCTACATATATTATCAATGTTTGGCTTTGACGGAGGTCAAATATCCATAAATTAAGTGCTATTTTCGAAAGGGGGTTTCTGCCCTCTTTAGCCCTATTCACCCTTGTTTCCAGCATTCTTCTTATCAATGCAGTTTGCGCTTCGAGTGTTTATTTTTTTTTAGCTTCGTTAAGCTTTTGGCTTGCACTTTGCTTCCTTATCAGTTGGCAATTTTTCGCCCTATTGCGCAGTGAAAGTTTTCCATTTGCATGCTGTTGCTGTTGTTGTTCCTGATATAGTAAATGTAAATGTGTTTGTTTGCTGTTTAATTAGGAATG